TCATCGCGTCTCTGACCAACCTGTTGACAACTTCCAAAGGAATTTCTGCTTGGTCAAAAGAGTGCGAGGAATCCTTCACCGCACTTCGGCGGTTAATATTATCACCTCCAATACTACGTCATTTTGACCCCCATGCGCCTAAGGAGGTCCACACTGACGTCAGTGGTGTCAGTCTTGGTGCTGTATTAGCTCAACGAAAACCAGGATACCAAGAATACGGTGGTCTCTTACACGAGTCGAACCCTCAAGAAAGCCGAGTGTAATTATTCCGTCACTGAGAAAGAATGCCTCGCAATTGTCTAGGCTTTGACGAAGTTCCACCGGCCGCCCTTTCGAAGTCGTCACGAACCACCACGCTCTATGCTGGCTATCATCGCTCGAAGACTCGTCGGAGCGCCTTGGTCATTGGGCGCTTCACCTACAGGAATACGACATTCGTGTCGTATACCGATCCGGCCGCAAGCACTCTGACGCTGATGCGCTATCCCGCTCACCGCTACCGGCTGACCCATCCTCCTCGTCACCTTCTTCAACTGTCATAACACCAATTGACTTCGCAGACATGGCATCGGAACAACGCAAAGATGGGTGGATTTTCCAACTCCTCACTTTTCTGACTGATCTGTTGGGTAATTCGGTCTCAAGAACTATCCGCCGTCAAGCCACACATTTTACTATTCGAGACGACCTCCTCTATCGGCGGAATTACACGTCTGAAGGTCGTAGGTGGCTGTTTGTGATACCCAACCACATGGGCTCGGAAATCTGTACTGCTTTCCACAACGACCCGCTATGCGGTCACGCCGGAGCTTTCAAAAGGTACAAGCGTCTACGTCAGCGGTACTACTGGCGCGGCATGTACACATTTGTCCGCAAGTATGTACGTACTTGTACTGCATACCAGTGACGTAAAGCCCCACCTCAACGCTCTACCGGTACACTTCAGCCGCTGCCTTGTCTATCGCGTCCGTTTGGCCGCGTTGGTATCGACTTATACGGGCCACTTCCTACGTCATCTTCTGGAAATAGGTGAATAATTGTCGGCGTGGACCACGTCACGCGTTACGCGGAGACGGCAGCACCACCCACAGCAACCGCGAGGGAAGTTGTGTTTTTCATCTTGCGCAACTTTGTTCTTTGCCATGGTGCTCCCCGCGAACTTTTGAGCCACCAGGGGGCGTGTTTACTTGTCTGACGCCATTCAAGCCCTGCTCGCTCAGTGCAACATGCTTCATCGCATGACGACAGCATATCACCCGCAGACGAATGGCCTCACAGAACAATTTAATCGCACTCTCGGTGATATGTTGACGATATACACAGCTTCAGACCAGACTAATTGGGGCACTGCCCTTCCATTCGTCACGTATGCGTATAACACCGCTACGCACGCGACAACAGGGTTCTCCCCTTTCTTTCTGTTGTACGTACGCGAACCATCGTGCACGCTGGACACTATACTCCCATACACACCCGACTCCTCTGAGTACACTGCAATTTCTGATGTTGCGAGGTACGCAGAAGATTGCAGACGATTGGCCCGTTCTTTGACAAATGAGGACCAAGGCCACCAGAAGCTACGGCATGACACCGACCGTACATCTCTCTACTTTCATGACTGGTGCTCTCGTTTGGCTCTGGATTCCACCGAGTGCTCCTGGCATTTCGTCGAAATTACTGGCACGATACCACGGGCGCTACCGCATTCTCGCCCGTACGTCACCAGTCAATTATGAGATTGAGCCTTTGACACAGTCTGATGACTTACGCCGCCGTGGCCGAGAAATTGTGCATGTGAGTCGCCTGAAGCCGTACTACGACCGCGCTATAGTGACTACGCCTTAAGTCGCCAGGTTGGCTGCGCTATTCACCAGGGGCCAATGTAGGGAACTATGCGAGCGATGACGAAGGAGCAAGAAACGGCAAGCCACAGCGTTGGTGCACGCGCGCGCGTCAAGCTTGCGTTTGGTTGTATTTGCGGCCTGTTGACGTTCCTCCCTCTGCTGGCTTTCCTCGGCGTTCCAGTAAGTCTGTACGTAAATGAACTACGTGACACTTTTAAAGGTCTCGTCCCTGTGCTGTACTCGGCTAGGCAGACGCTGTTCCGCGCAAAGCCGGCGCATGGCGGGACGACCGAAGACCGCAGCTATGATGGTCTTGAAGGCGGACCAGTTGATGATTTCGCCTTCATGGTTTTCGAACCAGAGGCTGGCCAGATGATCGAAGTAAAAGCGCACGTTCGTGTGCTAGACGCAGTCGTTCCATTTGTAGGAAGCGCTTACGATTTCGTACTCGACGAGCCAGTCCTCGACGTGCTGTTCGTCGTCATCGCAAAAAATTGGGGGGTTGCGTTGCCGAGGCACGCCAGTAGAGAAGACTGTCGTTGGTGGGGCAGCTTGAGGAAGACCAGGGGCAGTCGTGGTGAATTGTGAGGGTAGGATCCGATTGCGAAGTTCCAGGTTGATGGGAACCCCGGCCCCTCCACCACTTAAAATAGAGGTGTTTTACGTCGAGAATAGTTCAGACACAGTTTGGCGTAAGATGCTTTACGAGACAGGCCTGGCTACTGGCGAGCGGCGTGCGCGTGGTACTACTACTGCCACCAATTGTCATGGTCTTCTTTAGTAGCAGCAGAGCGTCCGTTATTCAGATTCATTACAGCCTCCATACCACTTCCTTTCTGCTGCCTTCTGTTCTATTACAATATTCCCATGCGAAGTCCTGGTGGTGAGGAAGTTCTTAAGTGTCTCTAAGATGTGTTTCTACAAAATCGTATACCATCAGCCTCTCCTCCCTTAGCTGTTCTTGTATCTCTTCCCACTTCAGCCTGTTTCTGCCACCCTGCATGTTATTATACCCTATGTCTGAAATGGCTCGGCTCTCGTGGCTACGTCTATTTCTGCTCCGGACCCTACCTATGTTAAATACTGGTGCCACTTTGATATCGTATCTGTCCATACCACCTGTCAAAGAGTCTCCCTGGTTGTTTTCTTTGTTACTAGCTATCCTGCACCCAGAAGGGCCCGTGGGCTTCTTAAAAAAGCCATCTGCGCGTTCTGCAAGTCGCCAACCCACCTCAACACCAAGCCGCCCGTCGAAGGAAGCTCTGTCTCATTGAAAACCACCCCACCTGTGTACCTCTCTGTTTATTTCCACCACCTCGAAAGCCTTTCTCTCTACTAACGCGCCATATCTCTTGGTTTGTGGTAACAACCGCTCTTTGCAGGTTGCCGTCACGCAGCGGTATCTCCGGTATCGTGCATATACCGGTACCGTGATATACCGTCACGCACCTGTACCTGAGGAGAAGTGGCGCGTATGTCATCGACCCCTTTCACCAGTGTGGTCGCTAGTCCTGTCGTATCTTCATTTAGGACATCGTTTAAACCGCCTGAAATTATCACGAGGTTTCGCCTATCAGCTGTAGTTTTGAGTTTTGCTCTTGCTTGCCTCATGACTGATTCGAGCTTGCGTTATTGGAACATGCCTACTGCAACCCTTTTGTCACCTGTTACCCTCTTTTTGATTGCTTCTGCACATCGATTAAGATTCGAGTCCCCGGCGATTATCACATGCTGTGTCTTTTCAACTGGAGCGTCCTGCACCAGGGAGTTACTTGCACCTGTGAAGCCGGCTGCTTTGTCCGCTCCCAGACCCACCACTACTTCGCTGAAGCTGGGTATTGCGACAATCGAATCGGCTGAACCGTGTTTTTTCCAAACTTGCTTGCTCTTTCTTTTCCGCCGTTCTGGTTGCCGGTGCCTTTCTGTTCTCTCTGTCAACTGCTCCTCTGTTCACCTTCGCTGGTGCTTCCTCGGCGTACTTCAGCCTTTCTTCCATAGCCCTCGCTTTCTCTTGCCCTGTCGCCAACTCAGTCTTCAGCTCGGTGATTCTCATCAGCAGTTCACTCAGGGTAACCATAATTTTCTCCTATTGTTCCCCGACTTCACATTGCCTACACTTGGCGTAAACCTCTTCTCCAAACTTTTCTGCAGTTGGGTCCATTTTCAAGCTCAACCTGCATCCTGAACACTTTATGGCCTTTTTAACCATGTCTTTCTGACACCAATTGTCTGACACCACTTGTCTCACTCGATAATTAGCAAACACGATGCCTGCTATACGAAAAAGAGAAAGTCTGAGCTCTATTACAAAAATTTGCGTGTTCAATGTACGTGCACTCCGCCATAGGGTGGCAAGAGAAAAAAAACGAAGAATCAAACACATACTCACACACGCAATCTAGTACAAAACCTGGTGACTAACCCCCGAAAATCCGTACAATGCAATGAGTAGTACAAAGTTTTTACCTCTAAATAGTTAACTGCTGCCTTATTACTTTTAAAGCCACTCTCAAAAGAGGCAAAACCACTTATCTGCAGTCTATCGGGAGTACTCGATAAACACGTTCATCCACCGTGCCAGTCTGAACTGAACACCTTGGGAGGCGGCACTCCACTCAGTGAGCGTTGTTGGAATTGCTGGATAGGCGACTGGGCCAGCGATCTTGAGCGGTCACCCGAGAAGTGTACAGTTGCAACAATAGTGTACACGCCGATGGTCGCTGAACAGGGTGCGAGCTTCAGGAGCAAGCTCCTGAAAGTCTTAGGGTTCCAGAAGCACACAAGAGCCATGGGAGAAACCTTGGTGAAGGGCTGCGTAAATTTCGGCTACCTGGAGTTTTTTGCCATATGCCTTGTGCAAATTTACGCGCCTAAAGAATTTTTGCGTCCATGTAAACATCGGCCCTAGTGGCCGCAATTTGGTGCCGCTACCTGAACGTCAGCATTTTAGCACCTAACCACACTACCACCGCGGTGGGTCGGCTCATTTCTTGTATGCTTATGTCAAGTCTTGACAGCTTATGTGATCCCGGAATGCATGAACCGGCAAGCGTATATGTAAGCGTCTCTGCAAACGTGATGCTTCTTCAGCTGCGTCAATATTGGTGAATGCAGATGCAAGCGTTTCAATACCTCTACCCATATTAGACCACTCACCAGGTTTTTGCTCGGTGAGAAAGAAATCGTCGCCGGAAGACACGCTACCAGGATAGCCGGAGAATGTCAGCGCGGTGGCGGGGACAGGCTGGCCTGCACAGGTTAATAAGACACATCAGGGGGTTTAACTGAAATATTCCCTATGTGCGAATGATATACATAGACCAGCCGCACGAATTAATGGAATTAAGGACGTGATACTCCAACTGATACCTTATTGCAGTTCACCCTTCAATATATTCGCGATCGCAGCTGAATGCTCGCCACCCAGTGGCTGCGCATCCATCAGCATGTGCGCTCAAGTAAAAAGTGGGCCAGTTGGTGTGGCCTCACGATAAACACCACGGGCCGTTTTTTGCGCTACTTCGTTCAGCCATTTATTGCACATGGCCAAAACCATAGGCAATGTACACAAATGCAGGTGCGGTACCGCACCAAAAGATGCCCCTAGACAAGAAGCTCATGACGAATCGCCTCTGGTAAGTTCGCTTCGTGAGCGTAGCTGAGCGAAGCAGGAATCTCAGACTGAATTTATGTAAACAGAAAATTGGCAGATCCCACGTACAGTGGGAATCGATGATATGCAAAGCACGAAAGAGAAAGGGGTGATATGTCACTTTAAATTGAGCACAACGTTATGAGGTGGAGGTAATTGATGGTGTACATGACTTCTGTGTAATGATTATTATATTTCAATATGTCGTTTACCATCGTTATCTATTCACATCACGTGATACCTAATTCAGTATATGTGGAGCTGGTGAAATAGCCGCGAGCACACTATGAGCGTTGTTTGTTGTCTTGTTATTACATGACACGCTTGTCAGGATTATCATGTTTGCACCAGTCATATATTTCGTCATCCGTTGACGTCACGTAACACCAAATTTTATACATGTGGAGCTAAAAAAATGGCCACGAGCGCATATATGAAGGGCTCAATATACTCCAATGTAGCATTGACGCGTGCGCACAGCTGGGCACAAGACGACACGTTAGCAATACGCGAGAACTCTATAGTGTGACGCCAGATGCGACCAGCGCAGCTCGACGGCAACCGGCGCGAAATGCAGCGCCGATGCTTTATCCAGTCAACGCTGCATCTCTCTCTTTTCGTGGTGGAGGAATGCTGCACGTGCCAAAACGCGTATGCGTCAAAGCAGCGCAGCACGGCGCGCGCCTGCGAGTATATGGCAGGACCAGTGCCTGGCGTGGCAAAGCCGGCGTGAGGCGAAGAAACGAATGCCGGCGAGCACGCCCAATGCGTCATGTCGAAACTACTGGCAGGCACCTTTACTGTGGCATGTAGTCATGTTTTCACATGGCCCCGCCACGGTGGTCTAGTGGCTAAGGTACTCGGCTGCTGACCCACAGGTCGCGGAATCAAATCCCGGCTGCGGCGGCTGCATTTCCGATGGAGGTGGAAACGTTGTAGGCCCGTGTGCTGAGATTTGGGTGCACGTTAAAGAACCCCCTGGTGGTCGAAATTTCCGGAGTCCTCCACTACGGCGTTTCTCATAATCATATAGTGGTTTGGGGATGTTAAACCCCACATATCAATTAATGCTTTCACATGACACGCATCTCATGATTACCGTGTTTGCATCAGTCACATACCTTCGTCTTCTATTCCCGTTCCATAATACCCAACTTGGTATATATGAAGCCAGCGAAATGGCCGCGAGCGCATTATGAGTGTGGCATGTAGTCATGTTGTTACATGACACGCATGCCATGATTATTATGTTTGAATATGTCTGTGATGAGTGAAGAAAACGACAACGACGGAAGTGCGGGGCAAGGCGCGTGTAATGTGCGCGTGAGTGCCAGCGAATCAGCTGATGACCTGCGGTGGCCCATAGAGGTGGCGGGCCACGATTGGGCCACGGGCGACCATCACGTGGCAGTGGGCTTTGTTGCTCGGGACGAGCAGGAAGCAGCGGCAGACGGGAGACAGCGGGCCGAAGCGTCGGACGCAGGTGATCCAGGTTCCGGCCAGGGAACGCGGCCGTCCACGCTACTGCCATCCAACTACCAGCTGGGGTGGCATTACCGCCACGAGTACTGCATCTCGAAGCGCGGCCTGGCCTGCTGTTCTCTTCCTTGCCGAGGGCATCGCGGATCTCGGCGAGGCGTCTCCACGGTCAGCCGTTCGACACATCGATGAACGTGGCCTGGCTAATGGTCACGGTTGCGTCGAGCATCGCGTCTCGGCGCACGCTCTTCGCTGGATGGGCTGGCCATGCCCCGCATGGAGCATCGCGTCTCCGATGCGGGTTGACTGCTCAGTAGTCGCACCTATGCCATTGAGCGCCGGTGTCACCAGAGCGTCACACATCAGAAAAGCAAAGTGCATGGAGGTGAAGATAGTGTGGATGTCCAACGGGATTGAGCGATGAGGAAGATTTTGAAGATGAACACCCAATGGATGATGAAGACGACGAAAAGTAAGAACTCGAGTTATTCAGGACCTGGCTTGATGAGAGACGGGAGACAGCGGGCTGAGAGCGTCGGACGCAGGCGATCCAGGTTCCGGCCAGAGAACGCGGCCGTCCACCGCTGCTGCCGTCCAACCACCAGCTGGGGCGGCATTACCGCCACGAGTACTGCATCTCGAAGCGCGGCCTGGCCTGCTGTTCTCTTCCTTGCCGGAGGCATCGCGGATCTCGGCGAGGCGTCTCCACGGTCAGCCGTTCGACACATCGATGAAAGTGGCCTGGCTAATGGTCACGGTTGCGTCGAGCATCGCGTCTCGGCGCACGCTTTTCGCTGGATGGGCTGGCCATGCCCCGCATGGAGCATCGCGTCCTCCGATGCGGGTTGACTGCTCATGAGTCGCACCTATGCCATTGAGCGCCGGTGTCACCAGAGCGTCACACATCGGAAAAGCAAAGTGCATGGAGGTGAAGTTGGTGGATTCCCAACCGGGATTGAGCCATGACGAAGATTCTGAGATGAACACCCATGAGATGTAGTAGTAGTAGTATTTTTATTTACAGTAAGCCGCATACAGAGCTCACTACAAGGGCAAAGGGCAAAAGGCGAACAGCCTGACAAAGGCCCTTGTCCCTCCGCAGTCCGTGACAGTGCAAAGCTTAGACATCAGCACTGACAAACAATATATATATTCAATACATTGGTTTCAAGCAACCTGAAATTGTAAACACAAAATGCAAACATAAATAGCATAAGAAGTTTACATAACACATTTTAAGAATTAGAGGTCACTCTCGTTAAAATTCACAACTAAGCAATATCAGTGAAACAAATCAAAAACATACACAAAATGCATGCAGATACAATGAATTCCGCTGTATACACTCGTATAATTGACATAGAAGTTTATGAACAATTTAAGCATTTGCAGAGGCATGAGACTCCATTACGTAGTTTCGATAGTGTAGACCGGTGGTTATGAATAAGTTCTTTATTTGTTTCTTGAAAGTCGCACTTCTAGCCCTAAAGTTCAATTGATCTGCAAGGGTATTTAAAACCTGAGGTACCTGGTAAGCAATACTTTGTTCTCCATATTGGGTTCTTGTTCTAAGAGCTCGTTTTTTTTGTTCTCGCAGACTGTAGTGTAGTCTTCCGGTGCAACTTTCTTCGTATAGCTTAGTCTTTTGTATTAACTGAAGTAATTTAAAATGATATAATTGATCAATTCTGAGTATGGAATGTTTAATGAATAGTGGAGCAGTGCGCAAGTCTTGTAGATTCTCCCTGTAATTTTCAAAGCAGCGCAATATTTTCTTTTGTATAGTTATTAACTTATGGTAATTCCGTTGTGATGTCGTTCCCCAGACTAACATCCCATAACTTACTTTAGAATGGAAGAGTGCATAGTACATACTTATTTTAACCTCAATGGGATTAAGTGCATTGTTCTAAAAAAACAACCAACTATTCGCGCTAATGTGGTGATCAGATGATTTACATGTGTGTTCCAGTTTAATTCCTCCTGAAACCATACACCGGTCGCACCTATGCCATTGAGTGCCGGTGTCACCAGAGCGTCACACATCGGAAAACAAAGTGCATGGAGGTGAAGATAGTGTGGATGTCCAACTGGGATTGAGCGATGAGGAAGATTCTGAAGATGAACACCCAATGGATGATGAAGACGACGAAAAGGAAGAACTCGAGTTATTCAGGACCTGGCTTGATGAGAGACGGGAGACAGCGGACTGAAGCGTCGGACGCAGGCGATCCAGGTTCCGGCCAGAGAACGCGGCCGTCCACGCTGCTGCCGTCCAACCACCAGCTGGGGCGGCATTACCGCCACGAGTACTGCATCTCGAAGCGCGGCCTGGCCTGCTGTTCTCTTCCTTGCCGAGGGCATCGCGGATCTCGGCGAGGCGTCTCCACGGTCAGCCGTTCGACACATCGATGAAAGTGGCCTGGCTAATGGTCACGGTTGCGTCGAGCATCGCGTCTCGGCGCACGCTTTTCGCTGGATGGGCTGGCCATGCCCCGCATGGAGCATCGCGTCTCCGATGCGGGTTGACTGCTCAGTAGTCGCACCTATGCCATTGAGCGCCGGTGTCACCAGAGCGTCACACATCGGAAAGCAAAGTGCATGGAGGTGAAGATAGGGTGGATGTCCAACCGGGATTGAGCCATGACGAAGATTCTGAAGATGAACACCCAATGGATGATGAAGACGACGAAAAGGAAGAACGCGAGTTATTCAGGACCTGGCTTGATGAGAGACGGGAGACAGCGGGCTGAAGCGTCGACGCAGGCGATCCAGGTTCCGGCCAGAGAACGCGGCCGTCCACGCTGCTGCCGTCCAACCACCAGCTGGGGCGGCATTACCGCCACGAGTACTGCATCTCGGGGCGCGGCCTGGCCTGCTGTTCTCTTCCTTGCCGAGGGCATCGCGGATCTCGGCGAGGCGTCTCCACGGTCAGCCGTTCGACACAGCGATGAACGTGGCCTGGCTAATGGTCACGGTTGCGCCGAGCATGGCGTCTCGACGCAAGCTGTTCGCTGGACAGGCTGGCCATTCCCCGCATGGAGCATCGCATCTCCGATGCGGGCTGACTGCTCCGTAGCCGCACCCAGGCCATCAAGCGCTGGTGTCACCAGAGCGT